CTCGTCTTCACGCCAACCATTCCCATCAACGCTACCCCAGAGTTCGTGACATCGGGTGTTGCTCTCGAGTGGAAGATCCGTGTCGAGTTTGTTGTGCCTAGCGCTACCGCCCAACAAACCAAAGAGACTCCCGTTGCGGAGCCCGAAGAGTCTGAAGACGCCAGCGCGCCTCTGGTAGGGAACAGCGCTACCAGTGGTAACACGAACCCAAGTCGTAACCATCCACTTCTTGAGGAGATTTCGCGTGATGAGCGTGGGGGCCTTGTTCTAGTTGCAGTGGAGAACCTGGCTTGTGAGAGCTTCGAGGTTGCGGTTCCGTTGCGCGTGTATGGCGCTTTCGCTACGGGCCTCGAAAAGCTAGAAAGGGACGAGGCGTCAGAAGAGGGCCTTGCAGTCTAAGACAAGGTTTCCGGTTGGCATGGGTCGGGCAGCGAGGGCATTGGGGGTATCACGCGGAAAGGGTCCGTTGCAGCACTGGAGCATCCATCTTAAGCTGTACAAACCATCACATGGGTGAAGGACGGCGGAGAGTGAATTTGCACATATCGTACCTACCTACACAAGTCAGTTTAGCATTATCTAGCGTCTCTGAAAAAATTCTATTGAATTTCAACAATCTCCATCATAGACAGTCGGTTGCGGGTACTTCTTCGTCCCGGTCACAACGATAGTTAGGTAGGTACCTTGATTGTAGTGAGGTTCGGGACACCAGTGACCCAGAAGCACGGACCACGAGCGGTAGTCTAAAGCTCCGACCCCCGATCAGGCCCCGTACACCTGTCACGCGAGTCGACTTTTTTTGGGACCGGCTGAAGAAAGTCGTCTGTCACTCATCACGACCAACAACGGCATCATCCATCATGGCTTGTGCATGCCGCATATCGTCTTTACAACTCTTCGTGCGGGGACTTGCTCAAGTCCACAACACTGGTTTCATCGCGCCGCGCAATCCTCAGCGAGCCCCGACACTACGATCCTCGTCTGCTTTGCGAGTTGCCTTCTCGACAACCCCCCTTTCCCGAAGCGATACTGCGGAGAAGCCGGCGGAGGATGGACAGGCCGTCGCCACGAACCAAGCCGATGGCCCTCCCTCGTCTGCAGCGCCTACGTCCTCAGACAGCACGAGTGACTTGACGTGGACGATAGAACCGTCCGCCGATGCGAAGGAAACCTCCCGGGGCTCGCCCAAACCCAGATCCGTCAAACCCAAAGGGAAACCAAGAAAGGCAAGAGAGTTCAAGACAGACGGCAAAACACAGTCGACCGACGGCTCCATGGCAACCTCAAGCAAGCCGTACTCGGGCGCAAAGAGAGCGGCGGGCGAGAGCGAGGCCGAACCAGCGCAGGCGCCCCCGCCGCAACACCGCCGTGAAAACTGGCAGCTCCAGAAAGACGCCCTCAAGAAGAAGTTCCCCGAGGGCTGGCGTCCGATGAAGCGCCTGTCGCCTGACGCCGTGGCGGGCATCCGCGCGCTGCACGCGCAGTTCCCCGAGGAGTACACGACGGCCAAGCTTGTGGAAAAGTTTGAGGTCTCGCCCGAGGCGGTGCGGCGCATCCTCAAGAGCAAGTGGCAGCCGTCGCCGCAAGAGGAGGAGGAGCGGCAGACGCGGTGGTTTCGGCGTGGCAAGGACGTCTGGGCGCGCTACGCGGAGCTCGGCATGAAGCCGCCGCAGAAGTGGCGGGCCGAGGGCGTGACGCGTGACCCGACGTACCACGAGAAGAGGCAAGCCGCCATTGCGCGACGCAAGGAGGAGGAGGCCAAGGAGGCTGCGGGCGCAAGGCTGCAGCGGAAGATGGGCGGGGGGTTCCTGTGAGCCGGGTCGGCGGCTCTGTCTCAGCCAAGGGGGTGTGCCGCAGCGGGCTGTCGGCGTGTAAGATCAGCAATGACTGTGCAACATGTACCACCACATCACCACTTAGGTACCCCTTAAATAGCAGTGTACCAAATCTCCAAGTGTCTCGTCTCGGGGCAGCGTACCCGTCAAATCTGATCGGTGAGACCGGTGAGGCAGCAGGACGCGACGGTGTGGGGCAGTCCCAGGGCTGTACTCGAACTGAGATGATCGTTATCAGCGCGGACAGAATGGTACGGCCAGCCGCAGAGAGGAGTGCCTGTTCCGGGGCGTCGTCTCGGAGTGCCGAAGTATCGACCTTGCACGGCGAAGCATGGGCCAGCGATTTTCATCACGTTGCCAGGGTCCCCGGCAATAGCTCATCTAACGCGTGTTCGCTTTGGGACAGTCTGGTGGCCGAGCAGGGGAAGAAGACTAAAAAGGGGGCCAGTCACGCTCGTCAACTGAATCGCAGCGTGTTCTCATGACTGATACCGACTCGGACGGCATGACAAGTTGCCTTGAAGTTGACCCTTCCCTCTGTTGTCTCGCTAGACCAAAGTCTTCCTGTGACGAGGTGCCTCGCAGCATTTGTTTGGGTGGCCGCATGTAATCGAAGAGCGGTTGTCGGAACGACCAGTAGCCTGCCGAGGCCGGGCTCTTAGCTCTTAGCTCTTAGCTCTTCAATCGCTGAGGCGCACTGCAGTGGTGATTGGCCTGTGCTTGCTCGAGAGCTGGGTTTCTAGGTCAACCCTGGCAAGCGTGCAAGGCGTGGGCACCCCCAAAGGCACCTACAGTGGAGCTGCCCTGTGCGCCCCGTGCATCCGACCTCGACGGTGGACCAACAGCGAGCTGTTCATGGACAGGGCCCCTGTCGTCACCCTGCCACACCTCCTCCACCTGCCTACCATCTCTCTTTTTCTGCCTGGGAGCGCCTGCTTCAGTGATCCGTGATCTTTTCACCACCAAACGCTCGGCCTCACTCTTTGGTCGTGATAGCTGCAAAATCTGCACCAGGGATTTGCAATCTCTTGATGTCGCTGTAAGTTTTCGGCCGCTCCAGCAGAAGCCCACTCGTTTGATGGATGCTAACGAGTGCGTCTGGTTTGGCAGCTTTACATCCTATTGGGCAGGCGGCTCTTTGACTTACACCGCCCTCACTGTCTTTGTTCTCGACCAGCTACGCTTGCCCACTTAGCCGACCTCTGGTTTTGTTCGATACAACTGCCCCAGCGACGCCATCTTGATCGACTTGTCGCTTATCTTTGTGCCTCGAGCTCGAGAAAACGTCGACCACCAACCCAATCCGCCAATTGCCTCTCACCAGAGCACCCAATGGCGATATGATGCACGCAACACCCACGAACCGCCTCAGATTGACCCCCTCCAATTCGCCTTTCCTCCAGCGCCCTTCGCGCTCCCCTCTGCGCGGTCGCCAGTACCATGAGTCCCGGCTTGCGTTGAAAAGGGTCATCGGCACCACGTGTGCCTCGCCCACCGGCTTCGATACTGTTCAGTCCTCCTTCGCCTACATCGCCGGCGGTGCCGTCGTGGTCGTCGATGTCGACGGCGAGCAATACTCGCAGCGTTTCTACCGAGCACGGCCGACAACTCTGCCCATCTACAGCACTTCTTCCTCTTCTTACGCTCCCTCCACGCCAACATCTACACCCAAGGCCAACGACAGTAGGAACCGCGTGGCCCTGGGCATTCGCGACTCCTCCTACGGAACCCTTGACTGGTCGGAATCTCCTACATCGCGGACCTGGACCAGCCGCGAGCGAATCAAGGCCGCCACATGTCTTGCCCTAAGCCGGGACGGCAAATACCTGGCTGTCGGCGAAACTGGTTATGCCCCCCGCGTCCTTATCTTCAGTCTCGAGGACAGCTCCTCCGATGTTCCTCTCGTCTCCATCAGCGAGCACGGCTTCGGCGTCAAGGCCGTCGCTTGGTCCGCCGACACCCGCTGGCTCGCCTCCCTCGGTGCCGCCAACGACGGCTTTCTCTATCTATGGAAGATTGACCCCAGGACTGGGGCAGCCAAGCTCCACCAGCAGAACAGGTGCACCTCGAATATCAGGGGAATGGTCTGGATGGGGAACAGCCTCGTGACTCTGGGCGTTCGTCACATCAAGGTCTGGAAAGTCGACGAAGGTTCTTCAGTGTCTCCGACGAAGCAGAAGTTTTCCGCAGAAGGGTCCACAGCCTCTCCCTCGTCGCGAAGGACGTTGCCGGGCCGAAACGTCTTGCTAGGGCCACTCCTCGAGGAAACATTTACATGCGCCGCCGTGGTGGACGACAACAAAATCATCATCTGCTCCGAAGGAGGCGACGTTTGCATCGTCGACGACGACGGGAAACAAATGAAGCTCATGGGCTGCGTCAACCTCGGCTTTCCCATCCGCTCCATCACCATCCGACACGCCACTGCGTACATCGGCGGCAAGGCCGGCCAGTTTGCTACTCTCAGCGTTCGCTCGGTCCTCGACTGTCTGACAGACTGTGTGTTGACCAAAAGCCAATCACCGACCGGCTTGGTGGCGATGGGTTTCTTGATTGAAAATATGGTCACCATTGACAAGAAGCACCATATTGACATTTGGAGTTCTAGTTACCTCCCGGGCCAGACGGAGGAGGACCTGTCACACATCCAGATCCCTGGTCACGGCAATCAAATACTGGGTATCCAGGCGTTGCCCAGGCCCAATCACCAAAATGCAGCCTTTCTTACCTGGTCCGGTTCGGGGAGCGTGCTGTTCTGGGATATGGACGGAAAGATCAAAGCTTCCTTTGATGTGCCTATCGAGCAAACCATTCCCGAGGAAGAGGGCGATCCTGTTAATCAGCTGAGTGTCGTTCGCACGACCAAGGCTGGCAAGCTGCTTATTGCCGGCGACAAGCTTGGTGTGCTCAGAGTCATCGACTTGACAACAAACGAGTTCCTCCTGGAAACAAAAGCGCACTCGGCAGATTGTCTGGGCGTCGCCCTGCACGAAGACGACTCAAGGGTCCTGTTGGCATCCTACGCTAGGGATCGGACTGTCCAGCTCTTCCTCCGATCGTCAGCCGGAACGATTGAGCACATGCAAACTCTCGATTCTCCTGCCAAGGTTGTCAAGGTTGTTATGCCGTCAGAAAGCCGGATAATCACTTGCTCTCTGGACCGGTCCATGCAAATCTACGATATCGTCAGTAAAGACGACAACCCGGATGCCATCGCTGCCCTCAACACACGAAACATTGCTCTCAAGGCATCGCCTACCTCCATCGTGCTCGGGCCTGGGGATAAGACTGCCTTTGTCGCCATGCTTGATCGTTCTGTCTGCCAGTATGACTTGAGCAGCGGCAAGCAAGTTTCATCCTTCCGTTGTGTCGATGAAGGAGGTGTTGAGGCCGCCATCCTTGACTCCTTGGTTGCGGGAACATGCCCCGGTAAAGAGACGGGGTTCATCCTTGGGCTCTCCAACACGGACAAGTCGGTCAGACTATACGACACCCAGACTGGCTATTTCCTCGACCGCGAATGGGGACACACCGAGGCAATCAATGGCGTTGCTCTCGTCGAGGACGATGATGGAGGACAAAGCATCATCAGCGTGGGATCAGACGGGACCATGATGCTGTGGACCATGGATCTGCAGGAGCCTTCGCCCGTGTCAATGAGTAGGGATCCATCGCCGGTCAAGCTCGAAGCTGCATCCTCACGCCCTCCACTTCGGCGCGTCTTGTCAAAGGCAGAGCTTGCCGAGTTTTCGCGCCCGTCACCGTTAGGTGGGCGTCGTTCTCCACCACGAACGGTTCAGAGACGTTCTTCCAAATACGGCCTGTCCGTCCACAACACCAGCACGCCGAAGGGCCTTGCGCAGAGCAGCGCCGCTGCTACCATTGCCGAGGACACCCCTTCTCGCCGGCCATCCTCTGGCGACAGGTCCAGCAGCCCGCCCATCAGCCCCAAGGCCCCTCGGGTGACAAGACGCCCTTCCCTTCCCGCTCTCAGCGTGAGCTCCCGTAAGAAGAGCTCGCCGAGTCTCCGGGGCAGCAGCGGAGGGGGCTTTGGGTCGCTCAACATGGCAACAGAGCAGACGTGCCGCACATTACGGGCATACCGCAAGAAGCTCGCCTCGACAGAGCCGATAGGTCACGAAGTACTCTCGGAACTGGACACGGAGCTGCGTCTCACCGCAGCCGCACTCGGTGACAGGGCTATTAGGAGCAAAGCCATGGATGAGTCTGTCATCAGCGGCCTGCTTGACCAATACGAAGAGCGTCTCGCGTCCATGTTGGACGAAAAGCTCCGCATTACCTTCCAGCCCATCCAAAAGGGCAAGGCGAAAGAAGTTCTCACTCCGCTCGAGTCCCCGGCTAAGGTTGACGCCGAGCTGGAGAGGCCAAGCACAGCCAGCGGAGAGTCGAATTCGACACTATAACGGAACGCATCAACGGTCACCGGTCACACTGATCGAATGCTTCTTTTTTTTATTTTGCTTCCATAGCACCTTGTCTTTCATATTTTTCTTTCCTCGTGGAGTTCTTGGGTACCGCCGGCGTTAAGGGGTCTCGTTCAAACAAATATCGGAGAGGGCGCTGCTAGCATGCAAAAGGGGCAAAGCAGACATACATGTACACATACACATACACACACACACACACAAACATACAGCACATAGCTGGCATGCTTCTCCGGAGCCGAGAAGCGGATCATATTCTAGAGATACCACCGCCGCCACCGGGATGGAGCAAGGGCGCATAGGGCTTCGACGGCGTTTTTCTTTTCCTTTCCCTAGTTCTGGCCTGGGAGGTGAAAGGTGGGCAGATGGTACGGTTTCAGTCAGCGCGGGAGGACCAGCCGCTTCATGCCATGGGCAGAGCGTAACCCTCTGTCTGGAGTAAATTGATTTCGGGCATTCCAAAGTGCCTTTTTGTTCAGACTTCAGCAATGTGACATCTGGTGCCTTGCTCGAGCCCCTAGGTACCCTCAACGCCACCACACAAACCAACTCTTGAACCATACAACATCGAGCAGCCGTAGTGTGCCCGACAGCGGGCCGTACACGCTCGGACTAGGCCTCAGGTTCCTTCATCCCTTCACTGAGGAGACCCAAAGACATGTCAGACACCAGCTTACCCTCTTACTCTCGGATTCGATGAACACTATTTCTCCGTGATAGTTACTTAAACACCATCGCGCGCTCACCTCAGCGACAGTCAGTCATCATGGCCCTGGGCAAATGACCTGAGGACGAAATGACATCATTTGCGGCCCCTGAGACACAAGGAGATGCAGGGACCAGCGCGCCAGCGCGCCAGCGGACAACGGTGATGAACCGCAGGCCCCGAGACCCCTGGACGCTGAAACGGAAGCCCAAGCTCCCGAGCTAGCGCTGGGTTGTCTCAACAGCTTCAACGACACCAGACGTGCTCACCCCCTTCCCGCATTCCTCCCCTCGTCGACATCCCACCAACGATCAAACCCACCTTTCTCCCCTACTTATGGGGCAGCTGGATCACTCAGGAGCTCTCTCAGCATCTGGAAACAGTGTTTACACCATCGCACCATCACACCATTAGCCTGTCAAGACGGACCGTCACGCCACTCGTCATCATGGCGGCCACTTTACCATCAGGCATCACGCTCCGCTCGCCCTCCAAGTACACCAGCTCAACCACGCCCGCGCAGTCCTCCTCCTCGTCCTCCTCCCCTCCTCCACCAACGCTCGACTGGCTCCACCGCACCTGGACCGTGACGCACTCGACCCTCACCATGTGGCGCACAGCCCGCAACGTCCGCATCACCTACAAGCCCCTCCCCGGGTCGGCCGCCGGCGCCCCGCGCCTCGACGACCTCGTCGAGTACGAGCCCACGGGCGCATCAACGCCCAAGCTCAAGACGGTCGCCGGCGTCGACACGGCGGCGGGCGCCGACACGACGGCCTGGGACTGGCGCGGCAGCGGCCTGCTGTTCTTCGTCTCGTCGCACTGGGAGGTGCTGGGGTCCGGCGAGCGGCCGCTGCCCGGGGGTGGCGTCGAGAGGTGGGCTGTCACGTGGTTCGCGCCGACGCTGTTCACCAAGGAGGGACTCGACGTCTACTGCGACCGCAGCGAGGGCATCAGCGAGGAGGCGTATGCCGAGGTGCTCGCGGCGCTGAGGCGGTTGGAGGCCAGGCCTGTTGTGGACATGGTCGAGGCCGATATGCGCCCGGTGGAGATTCGACTGCCGTGGCTTGAGGGCAAGGGGGGGCAGTGATGGCGGAGGCGCGATGGCTTTGCGGCGTGCTTGGTGACAACAACAGAATGTATATATTGGCCCATCCTGCCAGGCGCATGAGTGTCCTTGGAAGCTAGCTTGATGTCGAGGTCAGGGACGAAGCATTGATGCTGAGCCATGATTGATCAGGTCCAAGAACCTTCCAAAATGCAGTTGAGCGAGTCTTTCCCTTGACTTCTAGCTATTCATCACACCACCTCAAACTTTCGATAGTATTGTTGAGATTCAATCGTCTGGCATCCGTATTTTGTCATGAGCAGCTGCCTGGTGAGATAATTGAGGAACGAGTTCCAACACAACTTTCCGACTTGGAGGACTTTCACCATCCATCGCGAAAAAGGAACAATGTACGTATCGATACATTATCTTCCTTCCCCTTCGATATGAGTTCATACAGATCGTCCTAGGAAGGCTATGTGACGTTGAATTATCAATCATCTGCGTGAGCCTCGTAAATCCCAGGCTTCCTAGTCCCATTTGTGACCGTCAACCACCCAGGCTCTTCATGATTGATTGCTGATCTGATGCAGACTAGGGAATCAACATGCTCATCGTCGAATGTCCTGGGGACATCCGTTTCCTCTGCCCATGCTGCATGCTTAGTTACCTGATTGGCATACATGTGCTGGTCTTTCGTTCGCGTATGATCAGCAACGCCGTCACTGGCAGACGCCCTCCCCTGTGTGATCTTTTCTGTGAGGCCAATTGCGGCTTCCCGAGGGGCGATTGCGCGAGGGGCATAGTCAACACCAGTCGTCCGGCTCGTCGCAGCATTGGAGGGATGCACGCTTGCGACTACCAGAAATAAAGCTTCCTCAAAACGATGTGCTATGCCCTCTTCGCGAACCCACATACGTGTGACCAAGTGTACCAGCCTGTGAACGCTAAGGTAGCCAGGTTTTTCTTCAACGACCAGGCTAAATGCCTTGAGGCGCCCCAGCGCCTTCGTGAAGTCGATTCTGCTTCCGGGGTCTCGGGCATGTCCCTGTAGGCTGCATTTCCACAAAACCTCCAACGGAATGCTTGAATGGTGGAAAAAGCTCATCATAGAGAAAAGTTCGCCTGCAAGAGCGTCTTGAAGCTGAACTTGCCGAAACAAGGCAATCCATGATTGCGCCACTGCTCGAGGCGCTGCTGGCTCACGCCCCACGGTCTCGAACTCTTCGCTCAGAAGACGAAAGCAGCTTTCGTCACTATCTTCCATGAGACTGATGTAGTCTGCGATGGAAAGGCTGTTGGCCTGGATGAAGTACGTGGCTTGGACCAACGCCAATGGTAGTTGCCCAAGCTTCGACGACAAGGCGTGCAATTCGTCAGAGCTTCCATGGTCTAAAGTCCCGCGAAGGAGGTGTTCCGACTCGTTAGCAGTCATTATGCCGACTTCAATGGGTTTCTTTCCCTGGCTGAGCCTCATGCCTGCTTCCTTGTCGCTTGTCGTTATGAGAATCGAGCCATGAGCACACTGAGGAACGAGGTGCCCCAGCCAGCTCCTGGTCATTTCACTGTCAGGTCGTATCATACCCCCTTGTGACGGAAACAAAGCTGGCATGTCGTCGGCATTGTCGATCACCATGAGCCAAACGTTACTTTGTGTCTTCTTTAGCCAATTACAGACCATTACCAGTGGATCAACCTCACGGTCGTCACAGCCCGAAATCTGACATTCTTGTGCAATGTCTTTGAAGGACTGGTGCATTTGTTCATGGGTATTGGCACGGATCCAGAAGACAGACGCGGCTGGATTCGCCTCGCGGAACCGGTATGCGTATTCCAGTGCGATTTGTGTTTTCCTTCGGAGGCGTTAGCTTTTGGCGTGGAACAGCAGATTTGGGTGTACCTACCCTGTTCCGCCTAGCCCAAACAGCGAAAGTCTGGACTGCGAGGCCTCCATTAAAGGTTTCCGCCATAGCTGCGTCATGATGGCTGTCCGCTCAACGAAGTTCTCGTTTCTCGTATACGGAACAATGACTACGAAAAAGATTTGTGAGAAGCCTCTCGACGACACATGTCATGCAAGGATACATACACCAAGGTCCGTTGTTGGGCTCCATGACAGCAAAGGATTCCGACGGTTCTTCCTCTAAACGGTGGCTTAGCACGCTTACATGCACAGCCTGGAACAGAGGAGGCCATTCATACCGTGCTGTGAACACAAGACAGGCGTCCAATGGCTCAGGAATACTTTCATACATGCCGCTGCCGTGGATGCAGCGCGCCTGTCCCATCCTGTTGTCCTGGTGCCGTCTACGTAGGTGCCTGCGCCTTTGATGGCGATACTTGGGAAGATATCCCAGACGCCAGCGCTCTCCGTGTCGAAGGCTAGGATACTTTCTGAGCGCAAAACAAGATCAATCTTCTCTTGAGGTCCTACCACAGTATCCCCCGACGCTATCAGGCCAAAGTGCACGGTTGGTGGGTGTATCTCTCGGCTGACAGGATGGTGCCATCCGACCTGCCCTCCGCAACCGCAGTCCTCGCAGCGTACGACTTCATGCGCCAAGCAGGGATCATGGAATGTCTGATTCAGATCTGGCAAGGAGGTCCCTTCCGCCATCCCAGGAGCGTACTGAATGGCACCAAGGCAGTCTGCCATTTTGCGTTGCATGCTCCTGCGACTGCGGAGAGTTCTGAGCTTCGTGAGAAGCGAGCGGACTTCCAAAACAGGCCTGCCCAGCACGTGCAAGAGACCCTCTTTCCGGTTGAACTGATCCGTGGTTTGATGCCCGAGGTCGTACTCGGTCACACCTTCGCTGATGATGACGTCGCCTAGGGCAATCTTTGTGTTGCCGTCAGAGGCGAAGGGCACCGTACTGCATATGCCAACAACGATGGCGAGTTTGACGTTAGGATAGCTGGCCCGGCAGTTGGAAGCACCAATCGCAGCATTGACCTTCCCAGGTCCTGGTAGGCGGACGAGCACAAGATTGTGGCGGTCGATGGAGCCGTGGGAGTAGATATTGGGATCACCTGGGGCCTTGTCGTATGGTAGCCCAGCTGACATGTCCCAATCCTTGTCGAACAAGGCCTTGACAGCATCTGCTTCTATTTCTAGGGCGCAGATGATGGCCACGCCGAAGCAGCAGCGACTTCGTGGCCGTGACGGCTCCATGATACTGCGATGGGAGAGGATATTGTTGCGATGGATGATTCATTCGCCTCGTCTTCAAGAGATGAACGAAGGATCACAGAATCAAATCGCCAAGCAGACATGAACCAGAATATCCAGGCTCGGTAGGGGTTTGGCACTTCTGGACCCTTCGTTGGCTTTGCTTTGGATTCCCTCTAAGCGCGCGTCTAGCACTTGCAGAGGCATGGCTCGGTTGGCGGCGGGTCACGACCATCGGGAGAATGTTGAAATCGGAGAGATCTTATTGGAACATACGCAAGGCCTTTTCCCGGGATACGGACTATTGGTAGCGATTAAGAAATTGCATGTACAGGGTGCATCCAGTCATGTAGACAACCAATCAGTCGACCATGAAGCGGACAAGAACTGCGATCGCGACGTCAGCGCGGAGGCGCGTGGGTTCCCGGAAAGAGACGACAAATGAGCTTAATGGCCTTAGTTCGCGGCCCCGCCGGTCTATTGTTCTATAGCGTTTGTTTTATATCGTTATCTTTTTGCTAACGTTAGCCGAATCATGCTATCAACGGCGTGGTTTCATGGGACTCATGCCGACGGAATGCTCGCTACACCAAGGTTGCATCGGGTGCGACATGAGGAGGCACCCCGCGATTACTGCGCGGAGATCCACTTCTCGAGCAAACGCTGGATGACATCACTGTTCTTCTCCATGAAGAACATGTGGCCGTTGCCGTGGATGCCCTCGTCGCCGAGCTCGACGTGCCTCGTCCTGGAACAGCCGGCCTGGCGGAGAAAGTCGACGGTGCAGTAATCGTAGGGCATGTGGTACGAGGCCTCGGCCGTGACGACGAGGATCGGCTTGTCAGCGAGGTTGGCGAGCTGGCGGGGCGCAGGCCGCTCGGCTTGAGGGACGCATTCGACAGAGCGTGGCCTTCGCAGGTAACCTGTTGGACGAGTTAACGGCAGGGTCGTCGACGG